GGGCCCTAGTAGCATCCTTGCTCGTAGTAGTAAGATAAAGAACCTCTAGTAGTATCCTTGCCCCTAGTAACAAGGCCCGGAGCCCCTAAACGGTCTTCCTTTCTTTGAACTTCAAGGACCCACGTGCAACAATGTCGCGGTTGTCGTTGTTGTTGTTGCCTGGTTCAAGAAGTTGTTCTACGCACCAACCAACACCCAAGAAGTGTTTTTGGGGCTGTAAGGGAACCAAGATCCCTATTTCGCATACCCAGAAGCGTCCTTGCTCCGAGTAGTTCAGCCACGAGCCCTTAGTAGCATAAGGCCAGGAGCCCCTAGTAGCATCCTTGCTCAGAGTAGTAAGGTTAAGAACCTCTAGTAGCGTCCTTGCCCCTAGAACAAGGCCAGGAGCGGCTTGCACCACTTCAATTCGGTTCAGATTTCTATTCGATGTGCGCAGGAGAAGTCACATGGGTGAGACGCTGACGCCGGCCCGCTCCACAAGCCAATCGGCGTCCTTGCTCCGAGTAGTTCGGCCACGAGCCTCTAGTAGCGTAAGGCCAGGGGGCCCTAGTAGCGTCCTTGCTCATAGTAGTAAGGTCAAGAACCTCTAGTAGCGTCCTTGCCCCTAGTAACAAGGCCAGGAGCCCCTAAACTGTCCTCCTTTGTTTGACCTTCAAGGTGCATGGAAACCGACGCGCGGATCAGAGCAGCCAATGACAGGCAAGACTGGACAGGGTGTCAGAAGGCCAGTGAGACAAATATAACACTGGGTCCAGGTAAAAAGGTAAGAAACCCACGTGCAACAATGTCGCGGTTGTTGTTGTTGTTGTGGTTGTTGTCACCAACCAACACCCAAGAAGTGTTTTTGGGGCTGTAAGGGAACCAAGACCACTATTTCGCGTACCCAGAAGCGTCCTTGCTCCGAGTAGTTCGGCCACGAGCCCTTAGTAGCGTAAGGCCAGGAGCCCCTAGTAGCGTCCTTGCTCAGAGTAGTAAGGTCAAGAACCTCTGGTAGCGTTCTTGCCCCTAGTAGCAAGGCCAGGAGCCCCTAAACTGTTTTCCTTTGGTTTGAACTTCGCGTGCCTGTCACGCGTCTTGTCCGCAGGGGATCTCGTGTGAAGGGTCTCGCCGGTGTCTCGAGGCGTGAGGTGTTCAGTTCTGGCAGCAACCTTTGCACGCTCGAGCTGCGGATGCTCGATGTCTAGAGCAGTGGTCATTGCAAGGACGGATCGCTACCATCTTTGCCGTTTTCCACCTAAATCTCATGTATTGTGTTCTCTAAGTCTATATACTTCTTATATATATATCTATCCATCTATCTATCTATCTATCTATCTATCTATCATTCTATGGTTTATAAAGACTCCAGTTTGTTGTCTTGCTTGGTATACAGTTCCGGCAGATACTACTGACGTTGTCGTGACCAGCGCCGGGAGAAATGCCTTTGTTTCCACCGTTCGGCGCTCAAGGAGCTTGTAGCATCCTGCGTCACATAGCTTTAGCGCCCGCCCTTCGGCGCTCAAGGAGCTTGTAGCATCCTGCGTCACATAGCTTAGGACATGCTGCAGCATCTGGACCTTGCACTTTCGAGGTTGCAGTGGAAAAACCCACAGTTCATCTGTTCCTGCTCTCTTCTCCGAGCGCATGGTATTTTGACAGGTGTACTCATGGGTGCAAACAGACACCCCGGCAACGCCGCCTCCGCGGTTACAAGGTAATTATGACAAAGACACAAGCAAAAGAATGCTGACATCTGAGTGGGGAAGCAACTGCGAAGTGGTCACACAGTCTTTTTCTCTCAGCACGAGCGGTTTGGCAAGAAATGCACTGAAAATGACAAGGCTTTCAAACCCATGTACCGCTCTGTCAGTCTAACATTACCCAACGATCTAACACAAAGTTGCTATTTTCAGCATCACGGCTTCTTATGTTTCATGTGCTTGAAGTCGTTTCCTCTTCTGAGCGCGTGGTCTGCTTTCCGGAACGGCCATGCAGTGCATATTCCCTTGGATTCCTGTCAGTCAAAACACCGGCTGATCATGTACAAGACACAAGGGCAAAACAGGTGGACATAACAAGCAGAGTCCACGCAGAGTTCACCTGCATCTGGTTTTCGCGCCGCACGCCTGCCGCGTTCACGCAAGCGGCACAAGCGTCGCTTTCTGTATCTATATCACCCCAAACAAACATTGAGCAAAAGGCGACAGGTCAAGCAGACCAAAAGGCAAGAATGTTGACATGCTGTCTGTCAGGTTCAGGCGTTTCGACACAGGTGCGTATTGGTCACACAGTCACAGACTCTTTTTCTTTCACGCTGCGAGCGGGAACACAGAAAATGCATTGACAGGTGCAAATGCACTGATATCGATCTGTAGTGCCACTTGCTTGTCACATCCTCAAGGATCTACCCGAAGGTGGGTACGGACAGCATCTTCGACAATCACGTCTCATCTGTTTCTGGTAACTTTCTCTTCCGGCCACGTGGTCTGTTTCGAGGGATTGCATTTAAGTTAATATCGCCCTTGAGGCCTTTCACAAATACAACATGCTCGCAGTCGGCGTGCATCACAAACTCTAGACAGGTACATAATATAGAGTCCACACTCTCTCGGTATTTTCTTTTCTGTCGCGGCCAAGAAGCGTTCGGAAGGTGGCCTTGCAGCACGACCGCATGTGTCTTGAAGCATTTGCGAAGGGCAGTCAGATTAATTTTGTTTTCTTCCAGAATGCCTGCAGCTTTCACGGCGGTAATGAGAGCGTCCCCCTCTGCAGCTATCATGGAACATAAACGTTGGGCAAAAGCTTCCCGAATTGCCACCTGCGCTGGCAGCATGCCATCTTGCTTTTGCGCTCCCATAACCCAGAAATTTGTCAGACCATCAATGCCCGGATTGTCTGCGTTGTCTGTGCGCAGCACGACGTGGCAGTAGTTGCGTGTCTTGTCCATGCGCAATTCCCGCGCATTCCAAAAGTCGACTGCAGGCGACCGTCCTGTGCTGCGTAATGTTTGGCCATTCAGCAATGCGCTTGCCGTAGTCTCTGGCCATGTCCGGAATATTTTGCTTTCCTCCCACTCAAACTGATCCTTCCACGTGGAAGAAAACAATTTCTGCATGTTCTTAAATATGTCTTGCGGGGAAGCACGAACGCTCCCCTGCACCTGTGCTTGCCAGCGAGCGTGAAAACTCTCGATCGTCTGTGATCCTGACGCAGTTCCAGGATACGTGCCAATGATTCCCGACCAAAAGCCGGCAAACCACAAAGCTTCCGGGTTCCAGCTTCCACGATTGCAGCGAAATTGTTTCCCCAGGCTCTGTGGTGTCAACAAGCGGAAATACGTATCTTGCAAGTATTGGACTGCTTTCTTCGACCGGGTCTCGAGCCAGGCAAAGGTAAAATGCCAAACCAGGTCGAAGATTTGCGCCGTGGGTAGGATGCGGCTGATTTGGATGATCTCATCCAATGTCGCAAAATCGTCTGCCTGTCTTGCGGCTCTCGCTTGACCTTGCCCCCCTTTGTCTTTTTCGACGATGCCTTTGGTGTGGAAGAAGGCCTCAAGCAAATTCGGATGAAAGTGGCACACCCGGAACACAAAATCAACTAAGGACGCGACGATGTTTGGTGCAGCAACCCTTGCAGCGTCTTGTGAGACGCCCGCCGCATATGGGGGAAGTCGTCACATGGCCTTGCGGATGGAAAGCACTCTTTCCTCGATTTTTCTATTCCTCGGCTGAAATCTTTGTGGATCTGTATCACCTGCGCTTTCAAATCCAATTTGCAGCAGACATTGGCGATCTCTATCGCCACTGTGAAGACCTTACTCACATTCTCCGCCGATTCAGTGTTAACCAGGGCTTGGAGAAACGGTTCCTGTGTGGAGGTATAGACATCCGTGGTCTTCGACCTGCTGCGACCTGCTTTTGTTCGTGCAATTTTGTCACTGGAAACCAAAAATGACAAAGTCAGGATCGCATATTCGTTCGAAAGGATTTTTTGCTTCCCATCAATGACCAACTTCACAAGTTTGTTCTGCGCGGCCTTGGCTCGCTTCAACATGCCCGGGCAGGTCCAGAGGATACAAACTTGGTCTTCAGACACAACTGACGAAGGTAGAACCACAAGCTGCGCCACATCAGCCACCAACAAGATCTGGCTTATATCACGCACCATGAAATCCGCTGCAGCCTTTTCTAAATCTGCTATTGGCACTTTGGAGACGGCTTTTTGCGGAATTCCGGTTTTCTGCCGGCAGCGGCCCACGTAGTTGTAAAGTTGGACCTTGGTGCATCGAAAGTCTAATTCGGCCTGCTTCAGCGCAAGCCGCACAGTCCGCGCTGTCATCTCTGAATCTTTGTGCGCCTCTTTGATAGCAAAGGCTTCTGCCGCATTCCACAAGGAACCACCCTCTGGAGCAGTAAGCTTTCCGTGTTTTCCTTTTTTGCAGACTTCTAGCTTCGATCCGGAGAGCGTGCTGGTTGCTCGTGCTTTAACTTGGAACGTACACCCTTGGCAGACTGTCTTCTGGCAATGACTGAGCAGCGCAAATCCTTCCTTTGCCGCTTTCTGATGGAAGACATGAACTCCTGGATCCTTACACCTCCCCAGAACAGTTTCAACACACTCGCGTAGATCCGCATATGAAGTAATGGCATGGGGCAACACTCCCGTGGTTAACTCTTCCCAAGTGCCATGCTCTGATGCACTCATCCCCTCGCTCTTCTCGCCATGCTCCAGCGCCTCCTCTTCATCTTCCGCCTCACTGCAGCCCGCACTTGTGCGCGATCGAGATGCATCGCCTGGGTCAATCGTCGCTGAACACGGCAGACTTTGAGGAGGCTCTGACTGCTGTTTGACCGCCAGGACGGGGGATGCCTCCCTTTGCTGTCGTGCAGGTGGCGGGTTCTGATGCACACCCTTGTCGTTTTTGTTTCCAGACGCAGATGGAATATGCAACCCTGCTGAGGACATGAATACCTGCGTCTGTCAGAAGTTTTCGCGATGACTCCGGAAGGCTCGTGTAGTGTCGCTTCAGCAACACCCTCCCCACTTGGGTGTCTTTTTGAACACCAAACCCCCGATCTTCCAAGTTTTGCAGAGCTTCATTGTAGAGTGCTTCCGCGGCTTTCTGCTCTGCCCCATCTGTGCTTGCAAGCTCTTTGTATATGGGTGAAGCAGCTATAGCCGTGGTTTTCGTGACCATGGCGCCGCATGATGCCTGCAGCAGTACCATGGCTGGCAGGCTCCAGCGGCACTCTTTGTGTGGGTTGCGAGCTTTCATCCACGTTCTCTTTCGTAAATCAGAGGAGAGGATGGATGCTCCATACAAGAACCGGTATGTGAAAAAAATCCATTGCAGTCTTCACGCCCATGTCTGCTATGCGCGGCTGCAAACTGCTCCGCAGCTCTTGCCCCAGGGCTGCTGGCCACAGTTGAGAGAGCAGTGAGTTCAAAAACCCGACGCAGCTTAACCAATAACCAGTTTTGTTCAGGCACGATGCAAAGGTTTCATCCAAGCGAAAACTCTTTGTTGCCTCGAAACACTTTAATCTGAACCTGTGCACGCTGTTCTTCGCGTCTGCAGAACAGTGCCACTCCAACAGCGCACTGTTGGTGGGTAGGGGCGCGTGCGGGCCCAGCAGAGACAACAGGACGCGAAAATAGTTCTTCACGACCGGTAGAACAACTGCTTCACCAAAGTTTGCCGTTGACGGTGGCCCTGGTGCTTTGGCACTGGCGAAAGAAAACACAAAACGCCCAACCAGACCTATGCTGCACTTTTCCTCTGCTGCAGCCCACCATTTCCGAAACACAGATTCTTGTTGCATGATGAAGACAGCCACATTGGTGCGCTCGTCGCACGCTGCCGAAGCACTGCCGTCCCGGTTGACTCGCCGTTTTTGCCGGTCCACTGCTGTTTCCCATGGGACAGGACCACCTCGCGCAACAAATTCACGACACAGCTTGTTTTTCAAATTCGACTTACAAACACAGTGCATTCTTTCACACTCTATTTCGTTTGTTAGGTTGAAGCACGCCTGTGGCAGCATCCAAATACCGCTGCCAGTTCACGTAGCCTCCCTGTTCCCATTTTGATTGGGTTGGCCACGAGGGGCATAGTACGGGTCCGCCCTCGGAAGCTCCAAAGAATTCATATCCACCAGTGGACTGCAGGCGATCAATCGCTGCACAGTGTGTTCCTACTGGCTGCATGTGAAAGTGGTCCGTCGCTTCTCCTGGGGACAAATCTGGCATCTCCTTCATGACCTCCACAAGGGCATTCTTTAAAGGGTCTAAGGCTGGGCTTTTTCCCGAACCAGGAGCAGCCGTTCCCACAGCCCAATACCGAGCCCGACACGCAAAGTTCGCCGCGTTGAAAGTGATATTTTTGTTCAGTAAGCTGCTAATCAGCGAATAAAAAGCATCCAAATAAAACACAGTGGGCAGTCCGGTGGTTTTGGACCACGCATCGAACAAGACAACAATGGGCAAGAAGCATGTCCGCCAGAGAGGCGCCTCCAGTTCGACGGCCTCAGCAGCTACGATTTCACTTTGCATGTATTCTTCCACTGCATTCCACAATCTTTCACAAAATGTGCTCCACTCTGTTTCACGCAACTCACAGGAAAAGTGTTCCATTGCAGCAAGTTGTTCCACACAGTTGCTTCCGGCACGATATGCGCACAGCAGTCCTTCCACCGCAACCTGAAATTCACGCTCTCCATCATTCTTTTCTGGCAAAAGTCCATTTGCCGGATGTTCTGCTTTTGCTCCTTGTTCACACAGAGGCGGCGGCGTCAAGGCGTGTGTTGCTGTACTTGCACTTGAGAGCACGGTGCTGGATGATGTTGCGTAGATGGCCAATACTACTCTGCCCTCCACCGGTATGGGTAATTCTTCAGAAGCAGAAACATGCGCATCATCGATTCTTTGCCAGACAGTGGCCGTGGGAATCCAAGCAATGTAGTGCCCCGCACTTGCTTTCTTGCTTTCATCGCCAATGTGCTCCACAAGGCCGCAAAGCGTGTAACTTTCAGAGCCACACGTCAGTGTGTGGTTGCAAATGATTCTGTTCGTGTTTTTTGTTTCTCCCGCATGGTCATCTCCACGTGGAAACCCAAAGCATATAACTGGGGATGTGGTTTCCCAAAAGTTCTGCTGTCGGACTTCTTTCTCTGCGCCGCAATGTTCACAGCGCGTCCCTTCCTCCAGTTTTTTCAATCTCCATGCGTTCGCAAGGAGTTGTGGTATGGAAGCATCGCCTTCAGCATTTGGGAGAAATATCAGTGGCCATGCTTCGGACTCGTGTTTTTCTGTCGTCACTTCAGAAGCAGCGCAGTCGCCGTTCCAACAAACAGCATATCTCAGCGTTCCAACCAGTGAACCCAGCTCGCAGGTATCTTCACTTTGATGCACCTAGCGTGGCAACGTTACACGCAACCCCCTTGCAACTTTACACTGCCCTACCGTTTTGCTTCTTTGCTACTTTTGTTCTGTCTGCGGTATGAATATCGTTTCCACCCGGCCTCCTCCATAATCGCATTCAGCAAGCATTGTGCAAAATATACAGCACTGTCTGCTTCGCCAGGTTGAAAGCCAAAACGCAGTAGCGCGTCTTTCCAAGGGCGCATTGCCGGCCCGACTCACTTGGGTCTGCTGCAACAAGCAACGAAGACATGCGTCGCCACAGTGCACTGCCCTTCTGTGTTCCATAATGCTTCTCATCAGCAAGGGAACTGCGTAGATTAGCTGCAGAACCGAATTCATAAAGCACGAGTTCCCAATGTTGCACAGGCCCCCTCTCACTTCAGTGGCGTGGTTTTCACGCGGATCATCTTCCAGTTTCTGCGGGCCGCTGCCAAGCTGCTGCTGGCTCGTGGTCTGTTTGGAGAACCTGACGCGCGCCCACCCAATTGCACCCCATCTCTTCCAAAACTTGACCGGTTTTTTCAACAGCAGCACATCTTCTAACCAGAGGCCCCAGGTGCGCTTGTACGGTGGTGGACCTTGCAGGACACCATGTTCGCTGCGCAACAATGCGAATCTTGTGGCGGACAGTTCTTCGCAAGCAGCAATACGGGCTCTTCCATATAAGCAGCTTCGATGGGCCAACCACACGAGCCCGCAGCGAGCCTGTCGTCCACGAAGCTCCAAAACCTTCGTTCTTGCGAGGATCTGCTTCAACCAGCGCTCTTGGAGGATAAGCGCTCGATCATCTTCTTCGGGGGGAGGTTTCACAAAAAGCAACTTCGGCAGCACCACCGGCAACATGTGCTGCCCCTCCTTCGAAATCAGATTCCTCTGACTCCCACTCTTCATCTGAGACCCTGACAGCTTGCGTGTCCAGAAAACTTACCCACGCGCGCATCGGACCAAAGTCGAACTGAAACACATGCTCTGTTAGTTCTACAAACTGCTGCTGCGCTTCTGATTCGTGGGTTATTTGGATCCGTCTTCCTGCTTGGCGCGCATTTTGGGCTAGATATTTGACGACATCCTGGTTGCCGGGGTTGCACTCAATCCACTGTGCAAGGGTCGCACCTGCCATTTGCAGAGGGGTTGCGTCAAACAACCACATCTCTTCGGTTCTTTGACTTCTGCTGAAGTCCCACCTCAACCTGGGCCGGACTGTGCGTGATGTTTGCGGCGCGCGCAACCCATTGCAAACCAGATTCCTCAATGGGGTCTCCAAAATCTCCGCTTCGTGCTGTAACCAAACATTTTCCAGCCTGGCTAACGCACAGCTGAGTTTGCGATTGCTGCACCGCAGGTCGCACAACGTTTGCAACGGAACCATCCACCACAAACTTTGAAGCCAGATCGTTTCCAGGACATCTACATACACTTCAGCGCTTCCAGCTGCGCCGCCCGCGACATCTTCTTCGAACACGCCCACGAAGTAGCGCATTTGTTTGCTAAGACTTTGATTGACTAGAAACAGTGCCATCATGTCACACTTATCAACACTTTCGCGCACTTCTTCCAGGAACCGAACAAGGAGGTGTTTCCAAGCAATGCGGTTCCAGCAACTTTCTAGTATCAGCGCGGTGCATGGGCTGCTGTCTTTTGCAAGAGAAAGGGGAGTATCGCCCGAGAGATCTTCGACGAGCGGGTCTAGCCCACGTTGGAGAAGCCATGCGACACACAGTGGTTTGTTAAACCAAGCTGTCTGGTGCAAGCACGTTTTTCCTGCGTCATCACAACTGGACAAGCACGCGCCCCTGGCTAGCATCTTTTCTGCAACGTCAACCCACCCCGCAATGAGACAGTAATGCAAGACTGGATGCCCCTGGAAGCAAGCGGTTACAGACGCCCCAGCTTGTATCAACGTTGTTGCAACGCTCGCAGACTTTCCGTAGCAACATGCGTACACCAAGGCATTCCTCTCGCCATCTGTCCACAAAGTCATCGGCGATTGCCCTTTTTCCAATAGGCTGCAAAGTAAATCATCATTGCCAGCACGTATGGCTGCAAAGAACGCGGACGAATGATCTGTGGTTTCTGGACGCAGCACTACTTGCACAACATTTGGGCAACCAGCGTCAGTCCAAGAGTGTTTGGCTTGCAGGAGGCCCCCGTTGCACACAGCGGCGATTCGAAAGTATGCGCACATTCGCGCATCACTTATTGCGACCCGAATCTGGTGGAGCAAAGGTCCATCACTCACGCGCATATCGCATATGCGTTCACCAGTGCACGCACGCTCAATACACACACTCGGCACATTGCTGGAACCACCTTCAACATCCGTTTCTGCAGTCTTCATTTGCATCATCCGGTACACGTGCACATTGGGTAGCCCGCACAGACTCCTGATTCTTGCCGTGAAGACTATGGCATAAGCTTGCCCACATTGCCACACAGCTACATGGGCCCCACCCTTGACCGCAGAAAACACATTGCCAAAATGGACAATATATGTGCCCGGGAACTCGAGGTTTTCTTGTGGCCAAAGAATCCAAACACATTGGTTTGTGTTGTAACCTTCATGGTTCACAGCTTCGATGGAATCGAGGCTTTGGTACCGCGTTTGAAACACGAAGCCCATTCGCAATAAAGCTTCTTTCAAGCATGCTTTAGGCCATACGTACTTGTAGAGGGACATGACGTCTTCCCGAAACTCACTGATTGCAGCTTGCACTCTCAGAAACGTGAAGAGCGCATACAAATACAATCTCGGGCGGGCAAATCTTTCACACGCAGGGGAGAAACAACAAGCAAGCAAGGCTTCTGCTTGGATCTGCGCTGGCAATGACGTCAGGTATGCTTCCCAAGGTGCCGGAAGGAACGGCGCTGCTACTCTCAGAAACCATTCCGCTGCTTCTGCTGCACTCAGAAATCCTTGCAGCGTGCAGCTTCCTTCAGCGCTGATCGGCAGAAAGCACTCCGAGAACCCATCTGTGGAAACGAGCCAAGCTGCTAAAACGGACGGCGTAGCAATCTGAGACGTTGGTGCTACCATATCAGCTTCCATCGAAAGCAGTGACCCGCCTGATGGGGTCCGTGGGAAGCTCCCACCTTCAAAATCATCCGTCACTGCCACTGTCTTTTCTGTCCCGGGCACTTCTGGAAGCGTTGTCAAAGAAACTAACTGAAAAATGGCATTGTATGATTGCAGCAGTTCTGGGTGAAAGTCGCACACGGTACCCACATGCTTTTTGCGGGTCGGACGAACGATGCAGCTCCCATCTTCCCATATTTGTAGCCCCTCAAAGTGGTTGTTTTTGTGCGAAACATACTTGCCCGGCTGTAGCAGTCGATGTCGCACACGCACAAGGCATAACCTGCAATCGTTTCATTCTCGCACCTCGTTTCACGTCTTGTCCTTTTATGTATCTAGCGCTTGAACTGATCATGTGTTTCGACTGTTCAATTTGCACGCCAAAGCACCCCAAGGGCGCCAGCCATGCGTTCCCGTGCTCTCGCACTTTGAAAGGCCCGTCGCAATGGTACTGTAAGGGAACCCCCAGTGATCTCAACGCATCGACCAAACACACATTCTTCCATGGCCCACGCTCAGTCGCCATTCTGGCGGAATCACATCTCCACTTCCTGCAAGCACAGGAATACCACGTGGTTAAACATATGATGATGCAGGTTGTGGAAGTCATTTTCTGCTACTGAGGTGCATCTTCACGTCACTTTCTCTATTCGTTGGGAAGTACCCCGCCTGCCGCGCTCTGCTCTCTCCAACTTGCGCAGGGGACTGTCTTGCTTACCAAACTGCGCATTTACGCTTCTCGGGCTCTTGGTCGCCGGTGCTCCACGGAATCGACGGTACCACATTGGCCTGGCAAGGCGCAAGTGAAAAAACAATTCTCTGAGCGTCTCTTTGCGCAATTATTACACCGTAGATGTTGCAGCCTTCCGATTCTGCTCCAGCTTTTGCGAACACAATCCATTAGAGGACCAGCCGTTGAAAACAAGCGGCGGACAATGCTACCCACCAGCACGTCACCTTAGCTGGGTTTCGTTGCCATGAGTTGACAACACATTACCTCAGCCAGGTGACACCACTGACTTTCCACCCACAACGCACTCGGTGGCATCGCGCAAACCTCTCCATGAAGCCGTCGTCCAAAGCCGCAACTTTTCCCTGAGTCGCACATCATGTCTGCTACGCAAACGTTTTGGCCTGGTCGTGAAAGAGCGCGCAACTTAACGCACTTGCATCTCACCGAGCAACACCCATAGGAGCATGGCTTGCGTGGGATGTCGCAATCATGTGGCATTTGCAGTGGACTTGTTCCGACCACTGCGTCACCTCATTTGCTACGCATCTGACACTACAGCCTCCAGCACTGTTCCCTGTGTGCAGTCAAGCCACACCACGTTGCTCTGCCTGCGTGCTCAAAAAACTCTGACTGCACACGTTCCCGTGTGGGGTAGCGTACACCTCTGCTCTTCGCAAGTCAATCTATTTTAGGCCCTACGCTCTGACAGCGCGGCGGGTCGAATTCTGGCAGGTGGTTTCCTCCGAGCGCCCGCAATGACCAACCCTTTCATCTTGCAACATTTCCCGCTGCCCTGCAAGCATGCGCTGACACATTTCCGATGTTCCAAGTTATCTCAGAATCACGTCTGCATGTATACACAACTTATGCTCCGTATTCATATTCGCACATATCACAAACTGTTGCGCGCCTGCAGCTTCCTCGCAGGTTGGCCCGTCATCCACATCCAGACATGCACCTGAGCTTCCAAATGCTCCTTTCATTCATTTCCCTCCTTCGCGTTCGCCCACGTGGATTTGATTTCTTTTTTGCTTCCACTCCTAGATACAGAGTGCATAGTTGCGCCTACAACTTCCTCACAGGCGGGATTTTCTCAACGCAGCGTATCGCAGCCGGGAATTCTGCATGTTTTGTGCAGCTTAGCTGCAAGTCAACAGGACATGGCGTCCGAAGGCCACGAGGTGCAAACCTTAAACCGCGCGCTGATCACATGCAATTACTGCTGCAAGAGATGCAACGCAGTTACGGGTTGCCGACACATCCACACAGTCACCTGCGCTCCCGCGCCAGGTTTTGTACGGTCAACCCTTAATCATGCAAACACGTGCGCACGCCTGCAGCTTTCTGCGACGTTGCACGAGTTGCTTGCTCATCCATAGTTCGATGCTTGCCCTCCTACAGCACGTTACACGCGCCTGCAGCTGTCTCACAGGGTGGCCGGCCATCCAGAGTCGCACAGGCACCTGAGAAATCATGTAAGGGCTGCTTTCGTGCGCTGACCTGCATCTCGGGCATATAGCATCATTTCTTCGCGCTTCAGCCGCTTTCCAGTCATGCATTTTCCACAAATTGACTGCGCAGGTGGGCCTGCAGCTTCGTTACAGCTGTGCCCAGCGGCGGGCTCCAAACACTCACCTGCGTTGCAGCAAGTGCTCTCTGCGTCTACATTGCGTTCGAATTATTCACACTTTTCGAGAGTTTGTCCAGGCCTTCCACCATCACATCATCGAACCATTGTGGGAAATAGCGAGCCATGGTATTCGCCTTCAGCGACAGCAGCTTTGACTTTTCTTTTCGCAAGCCGGACTTCACCAATATTGAACGTAGCTGCAGACATGTGGGTATACGCGTCGCAGGCGTTACCCGTCGATATTTGCATATATCCGGCTCAGGCGCTCACTACGACACTCAGTGGCTCCTTCCTCACGCGGTCTACGTCCGAAAGCTCAAACTTGAGAAAAGCTTTCCACGGACATACACACGTGTTGACGACGTCTCCCAAGCTATCGGAGCCCATATAAGCGTCGTTTTGCGACGAGCACGCGAGGAGCTTCGAGCTTCCTGACGT